GGCACCTCGTTGTGTTCTCACACGCTACGGGTTACAGGGCATCACTGCGAGACAAGGATTACTTGCCTTCTTGTCGAAGCCCTCGTGGATGAGCAATGCCGACTATGCCTTGGCTATTTATGTGATGTTGTCCAGGCCAACAAAGCTCGATGATCTGTGGATAGTTGATCTGCCACCTCGAGGTGTTTTTGAGACCTTCCTGCGCGAACACATTCCGGTGCTGGTGAAGAGAAATGCGGGAGTTTGAAGAGCAGGCCCGGGTGGATGAACGGACAGCCATTGAGTACGCGCACCGGCTTTCCCGGCAGGGAATCCCTTGGGTTCGCAAGCGCTTATCAGCTGATGAGGTTGCTGCTGTAGTTACCTCTTAGAGTTCTTCGCTGATGACCGAGCTGTGAGACGGCAGCCGTTTTATAGCGCTGTAAGAACTGTTTGCAAGCGGACGGAAGCCCGACATAGTTGAGTGTGTCGCAAATACTTCTTGCGGAAGGGATTGTCCGAGCGAGGAGGGAGCGGCACACATGACGAACCCAAAGCAAGGATCCACTAGCATGTCTTTGTGAAAATTGTCCAGATCCGTTTGCGCAGCGGTCACGTCCTCGGATGGATCTGATGCATAGCGAGGCGCTGAAGCACGGCGCGAGGCGTGTTGTTGTGGAGCATGACTGTTGTTTTGTAGCAAACTCGGCCTAGCTGAGTGTGTTGCAAATGCTTCTGGCGGCAGGGATTGTCCGAGCGAGGAGCGAACGTCGTATATAACGAACCCAGAGCGATGCTCCACTAGCATGCCCTTGAGTCCTCGTTAAACGAAGACATGAAATTGGCGGCGCGTGCTCGTTGACCAAAAAGGTAAATTTGGAGTTTTCGGTCTCTGTGGAAATATACGTATGGATGCCTTGACAGTAGGTTGGTACTGAACTTTGCTTTCATACCTTCATGACATTTTACTGACAAATCTGACGTCATATGCTTCATTCACGGTATGTAGGTACCGAGCTTCTTGGTTTGACCGATCTGGAGCGGGCTGAGGCGGAGACAGATGCGGCTGGATGTGTGGAGCCGCTTCTCACGGGAGATGGTGAAAACTAATTTCTTCTTTGCGATGGAAATCATTGTCGTTAGGACCAGGATGAAGCGCGCATAAATTTCTCGCGGGATATAGTCCAAACTTGTCTTTGCAATGAAAAGTACTTTTTGTTGTGGCGAGAATGAAGCGCACACAAATGCGTTTTGTGTGCGCTTCGTCCGGCTTACGTTTTAAGCTCTTTTGTTGGATACTTGAAGTGACGCTGACTTCTTACGAACCTGGTGCCAGGTGGTCATAAATTGACTATCAGCTTGAAGAAGCTGCTGGGGAGCCGAGCTGTGGAACAGCTGGAGTACCGGGAACAGCGAGAGGTAGTGATGACTGTAACAGATGTGCCTTCAGAGTATGTTGCTCCCGAGGTTTTGCTGTTCATATTGTGTTTACCTTGACAGGAAGTTGGCACCGTACTTGAGGCCGAGGAGGACATTGCTGCGAATCAGGCAAAACCACTAGTCTCTCTGCAATGAAAAGTAATGTGTTTTGGGGCCAGAATTTGTGTGCGCTTCGTCCTGCTTACGTTTTACGTTGTTTTTTGATACTTGGGGTGAGACTGACTTCTTACGAACCTGGTGCCAGGTGGTCATAAACTGACTATCAGCTTGAAGAAGCTGCAGGGGAACCGAGCTGTGGAACAGCTGGAGTACGGGGAACAGCGAGAGTTAGTGATGACTGCAACAGATATGCCTACAGAGTATGTTGCTCCCAAGGTTTTGCCTTTCATATTGTTCACCTTGACAGTAAGATGGCACCGTACTTGAGGCCGAGGAGGAGACTGCAGCGAATCTGACAGAGAGGCACCCAGATTCGTTACTAAATCATTATTTTGGAAATCATGTTTTGGGCCCAGGATGAAGCGCACATAAATGTACTGTATGGGCGCTTCATCCGGCTTGCGCTGTACTGTCACTGGATGTGAAACTCGATGCAACAATGCAACGCTTGGCTCCAGCTTCGCGACCACACATCATTGCAGGTCATTACCGCTGCTGCTCCATTCTTTGAAGGGCCTGCCCGCGAGAGTGGAGCTGATGACTTGAAGCGCACTTACGGTGTACTTTCTGTTTGTCTGATACTTGAAGTGAGACTGACTTGCTTTGAGCCTCTGCTGGCAGGGCTCGCCGCTTGTTTTTGGGACCAGGATGAAGCGCACACAAGTCCATTTTGTGCGCGCTTCGACCTGCTTACGTTTTACTCCGTTTTTTCTTGAAATGGGACTGACTTGTTTTGAGCCGTTTGAAGTGAGACTGGCTTCTTATTAAGAACCTTTTCTCTCGCCTCTGTCCATTTACATCTTCGCACGCTCGCATCCACAGATCTCCCTCTCCACCTCCATACATCTACACATCTGTATCGCACCTGCACATCCACACTGTCACTCCTTCACGTCCACCCTTTCTTTTGTCTCTTTCTATATACCTTTTCGACAGTGCTGGACAATCACATGTCTCGCTCTCGGGCCACCCGTCGTCTAGTTTGACATTTTTTGGGCCGCACTTTGTGGGCACTTCCAAACGCTAGTTGCTTCTTGTCAGTCGATGAGGGTTGGTGTCATGACAGGGTGGGCCTATACGAGTTGCCTGCAAACGGGGCTTCATCATTGCCTGCTCAGCACACTGTGTGATGTCGGCTTGACCAATGACACTTTCAACTAATGCATTCGACAAGGGAGCCATCAGCACCCACAGTCATGTGACTTTTTCCTCTTGCAGCGCGGCTGGGTCGAGCCCCTCATCGCTAGTAAGAGAAAAAGAGTTAAAGATGAAAGAGTGACAGGTGAAAAGAGAACCTGCAGTGAAACGGAGTGAAACAATTAAAGCCCGGCTTTCAGGGTGAGCGTGCGGAACTTTTTAAAAGCTATGTCAGGCGTCACATACTTTTATGTCAGGCGTCACATACTTTACGTTTGCAGTAGGGACACGGCAGCGCTGCAGGCTGGAAAAAAAGTACAACTGTTGACAGGTTTGCGGAGAATTGAGGTACATTGGTATTGCGCCATTACGTCACAAATAGCGCACAACACCCATGGAAAACGCGTGTTTTTTACAACTTAGCTGGGCAGGCTCCTGGCTGCGGTTGCGCCTGAGCCCGTGGGCTTTTTGATGCGGCCCTCAGATTCCCGGTAGAAATGGCCGCCCTGAACCACATTGAGGTCAACCAGGGGCTATGGGACGCTTTCAACGGGCGACAGCCGTGTCCACTGGCGCATTGCTGCAACCTTTGGCCTCTTGAAAGAGCTCTTCACGCAACCCGCGGTTGCCTCGTTACCTCGACGCCGCTTTCACCCTTATGTTTTCCGTAAACCTTCGACTGCAGCTTTGCGAAGTGTAGGTTTAATTGCAACAAGCAGCTGAAACTGCGCTGGTGTCTGCGTTTCAGACGTAGTTTTTGGGTGCGTTTCCATGCGTGTTGATGGTTGTTGGTGAGCATGCTACATGCAATTGGGTCTGCTACGAAATGCTGCTCCTTCTGCCCCTATATGCGTTTTTGCGGGGAGCAAAAAATGCATTTGAGCATTGCTCTCCATATGCATTTTTCCGGGAGCCAAAAAGGCATTTGGTGTACAAAAAGGCATTTAACTAAGGGATGCGTTTGCACACCTGCAGAAAAAGCATCCACAGTAGTCATGACTGGAAATCTGAACCTCAAAGGTCCATGCTTTTTCTTTACGGCCGCGTGTTTGAACATACATGAAAATACGTTGCGTGTTTTTAGGGCCTCGCGTGTTCAGAACAGGCTTTTTTTAGCAACTTAGGTGCCCAGGATTGCCTCGAGGCGTTGGCTATCCGGCTAAAAAGCTAGCAAGTGTCATTCACGAAGACAAGCCACATCAAAAAAGAGCCAGAGGAGGGCCGGATTCTGCCCCATCAGTAGAGTTGACGAATGTTGACGAGTTGTTTTTCACACTGATTCGTGCTAGGGAGGCGCTCCTTCTTGCTCCGGAACATTTTAAGGTGTCTTATTGTGAACATAACCTTGCAAACACAAACTAGATGCAATGACAATGATAAAATTGCGCAACGCTTCGGCTGACCAATACGTTTTTCTTTTGGGCTGGGGGTCGCAGCGATTCCAGCGTCAATAGGGCCTTGGGCTAAAGCGTCAATTGCAGCATGGGCATTCCAAACGCTACTGCATTTTAACAGAACTCATTTTAAGTCGTTGTAAGCACTGCAAGTGGCACAGGCAACTTTCAACTAACCTGCCAATCCTGCCAATCACTTGAGAATGGCCACGGGGCGAGACAGAGTTGGAGTATTTACTAGAGCTAGGATTAGTGTGCGCACCCTGTTTCAAGTTGGGTCCGATCTTCTCTGGCGAAACTGACAAACCACCTGGCCGATTTTCCACAAGTGGGCACACTAACCCCAGATCATTTTGGCACCTCTTCTTCGTCAAAAATTATCCAACTCCGCAATGAATCTGAACTCCTCATTGGCAGCAACTGCCACTTCCCCTGCACCATACTGCGTATACTGCGCAAACCCAGTGCAGAGAGCTTGCGCGTGAGGTTGATTGTAGTTAGTTGCCCGTCTTCTGCACGTCTACAGGCGGCAAAAGAACAAGAGCCCGCAACGATAGGTAAAGGTCCTATTCTCGGAAGCGTGTTCAAGGACAAAAAACTCTACTGAGAATGATCTGATTGCCCGGGAATTGAATTGGCTGCAACACTTGGCTTGACGTTTGCGTTCGGGCAAGCCGATCAGCCGATCAGTCTTGAAAGACTCCGGGCCACTAGCTCAGCGACATCACTGGCATTGACGCGTCCGTGATACTTCCACCTTGCCCTTGACAGAACCTGCCTCGGACGCAACAAGCGTACCAGAATATGGTTCACACTTTCTCACCCCGTGCGGGCGTGGCATCACCTAATTTTGCAAAAACGCATGCTAAACCCGTGTTTCACCCCGGGGTCCTGCGCAGACTGCAACTCTTTCTTCAAGTCGCCAGTGCAAACATAGCACATCCCCTCCTTCCAAGCAGCACATGCACCACGTCGCGCTGTAATATTCATTGCAGGGATGCGGTGTCCTTCATCTCCCTTACAATATCCCTCTCCGATGAGGATGTCATATTGCAACCAGTTTCAAGCAGCACCTGGCGCGCTGAGCCCTTTCAGCAGAAAACGCATTGTGTTTCACAACACCAACGTTGTACCGTTTTGCGTTTTCGCCCACGAAGCAGCCACGCAACAGCTTATGTAGACCGTAGAAACACGTGAGCCAAGCACCTTGAACTGAAGCTGCGCCGCAACAAACGCAAAAAAAATTATCCCGGCAAAAGACCCCAAACAGTGTGTATAAGCAGAAAGTCTAGAGATCTAAACGCATTGGGGTCCAGAGAGGTGATGGTGGTGATGAAGGTGGGGATCGTGGCGACGGTGGTGGTGAGTGAGTGAGTGTGAGTGAGAGTGACAGTGAGAGGGAGAGTGAGAGTGAGAGTGGGAGAGTGAGTGAGAATGAGAGTGGGAGAGTGATTGAGCGTGAGTGTGAGTGTGAGAGTGAGAGTGAGTGTGAGCGAGAGAGCGAGAGCGAGAGCGAGAGGGAGAGTGAGAGTGAGTGTGAGTGTGAATGTGAGTGTGAGTGTGAGTGAGTGTGTGAGCGCGAGTGAGAGTGATGTGAGTGAGAGTGAGTGTGAGTGAGAGTAAAGGTGTGAGGGAGTGTGTGTGCGGGAGAGTGAGAGTGTGAGGGAGTGTGAGTGAGAGTGAGAGTGGGAGAGTGAGCGAGTGTGAGTGTGAATGCTAGTGTGAGTGAGAGTGAGAGTGTGAGAGTGAGTGTGAGTGAGGGTTAGTGTGGGTGAGAGTGAGTGTGAGTGAGAGTGAGAGTGACTGTGGGTGAGAGTGAGTGTGAGTAAGAGTGGGTGGGTCAGAGTGTGAGTGAGAGTGAGAGTGGGTGTGAGTGAGAGTGCAGGTGGGTGAGTGAGTGTGGGTGAGAGTGAGAGTGAATGCGAGAGTGGGAAAGTGAGTGAGCGTGAGAGTGGGAGAGTGAGTGTGATATTGAAAGTGAATGAGTGAGTGAGTGAGTGAGTGAGTCACTCTCACACTCACTCTTCACTCACACTCACATTCACACTCACAGTCACACTCACACTCGCACTCACACTCACTCTCACTCACTCTCAGCCACACTCACTCTTACTCACACTCACTCTCATCCACACTCACTCTCACTCACACCTCATCCACGCTCACTCTCACTCGCGCTCAGATTCAGGCTCGCGCTCGCACTCACACTCACACTCACTCTCACTCTCACTCGCACTCACTCTCACTCACTCACTCACTCACTCTCTCACTCTCTCACACTCTCACTCTCTCACACTCATGCAGGGTGAGAGTGAGAGTGAGAGAGCGACGAAATCTGTAAGGGGTTCACAAAGTATACTGCGCCACAAAATCTCCACTTCGTGGTTCACCAAGTGCCGTGCCTCCCGCGAAATCTGCACTTCGAGGTTCACCAAGCGCTGTGGCTGCCGCGAAATCTGCACTTCGAGGTTCACAAGGTGCTGTGGCTGCCACGAAATCTGCGCTTCGAAGTTCACAAAGTGCTGCGCCTGCCACGAAATCTGCACTTCGAGGTTCACCAAGCGCTGTGGCTGCCACGAAATCGGCACTTCGAGGTTCACAAGGCGCTGTGGCTGCCACGAAATCTGCGCTTCGAGGTTCACAAAGTGCCACGAATCTGCACATCGAGGGTCACAGAGCACGAAATCTGCAAACGAGCCACATGTCCAAAAGTCACGATTCACTGCGCCTGTCACGATCACCACCGTGTCCAAAGTGCCGTGCCTGCCACGAAAACTGCATTTCGAAGTAGAACAGCGCCGATCCTGTCACGAAAAGGCGACTTTGGAGCACCAAAACACGAGGTTTCCCTTGCGCCCGCCAACGTGTGCAAAAATGGGCGCGGCACCACAACGAGAGCGCAGTCGTTGGAAGCACCCGCCGACCCAGATTTCGCGAGCCTGCGCAGTCGAAATGCATGCCTCTCGAAATCATTGTAAATAGCAGCGAATTAGCCGTTCACGGCCGACGGCCGCGCGCTTCAGCGATCTAAGCGTCAGGCTGTTTGGTGAAAAAACCGCACACGCCGCAATCCCCAGACAACCCCGGCGCAATAGCAATCTTTTCCGACGGTAGCCAGCCTGAAGGTCCAAGCTTGAAAGCGCAGGTAGCAGTTTTGGTTTCGTAAACATGCCCGTGTAAATGTCAGAGGTGGGGCGCGCGCGCCAATTGCGACAACGAAAGAGATTCGGCCTCTAAATAGAGAGTTCGGCTGCGACAATCTGATGAACCTCTTCAGCTTGCTCGCTACAAAAGGCAAGACCGCTCGACAATCAGTCACTTGCCAAAACCAAATGTATGCATCCGCAGGGCCTTTGACATAGGCTGCTACAAAATCACGCGCAGCAAGCTACAAAATGCAGAAACAACAGCCTGAGCGGTAAACGGCAGACTGTCATTAAAGAAAGCTCTAGATAGAAATGATAGAAACAAAAACTCAGGCGTAGTAAATCGCACGATTGTCAGAATCCCTCTCCCGAGAGCCCGTGGGCGAAGGGCTCTCCTTAAAAACAAAAGCAAGACATGAGCATTACAGCATTACATGTCATCACAACTGTCATTTATTCACACCTGCCGACACCCAGACGCGCGCATCTGCTAATCTTCACATCTGCACATATCCAAATGCATTTTCGAATCTATGACCCGAAATTGGCAGGGAGACTTCCGAACAGGCGGAATCGACCGTCAAGCAACAAAGTGAACATGTGTGCGCGATTTGCTTTTCGCATTCCCAAAACTAAATTTTGATCGAACATGTTCACATGGCTCTGGCGCAAGATTGTCTTTCCCACTTGAAGGTTGTGTCCCTATCAATGCGGACATTGAACATTTCACAAGCTTCACAAAAAGAAACCTGCCAGTAGCCAAGAACATTGTTCTCTTGGAGGGCGAGAGCTTTCATCATCGAAAATGTCTAAGGACGACCTGGCTTTTCCTTAGCGTCTTTCAACTTCCAAGCTTGTTCCGCTCGTTCTCATCGACGCCATGGCTTCTGATCCAGCGGAGTCTGGACCTTTCACCTGAGCGATTCTTCAGGATTCTTCTTCGTCCTTAAGTTGATATCTTATACTTGTAGGATTTCACGAAGCGACGAAGGATCAATCTTGGTGAGACAGTCTGCTACTTGAGCGTTTGATGGAACCCAACGAATGCGTACCCCTGTGGTTAGATGTTTTCTGATGAGCTTTGCTTGCAGCAAGGTTGACGGTGCAGCAGCTCGACTTATTAGATCATAGATTGAATCCATGACCTATCCTTTGGAGTACAGTTTGAGTAGATTCTCACTGACTGACTTGTTTGGATCTGTTAAGTCTCGTTCGTCTTTCAACGCCGAAGTGCTGGGGGAAGCTGAGAGAGAGTTTGATCTCCCAGGCGCCATTTGACGTGTCCGGTCTAGAAGCCATCCCCAAAATAGTCGGCGCCAAGCCAGCAAATCTACTGCTCCTGCCAATGCCATTGCCTCTGCCGAAAGAGTGCTGACAGCCAGTTTCTGAGTTTTCTTCGAGGACCACAGGATTGGATGCTTTTTGCTTTTGTGGCTCTGTCCGATGTTTTGATGTACGGTCACGATCATCAGTCCTTGATGTGATGCTTGACACATGGACTTTGGCATCATGCAAAATGTTGTTTCCTTCAAACAAGTCTTTGACTTGTCCATTATAAATGTGGCTGTGCAATGGCTCAAACGACTTCCTAGGTCGGGGCGTGTGTTCACAGCGGCACATTGGAGGCTCCCTATCAGACCCTCCTGCGATGGGCTCGTCACAGGGTATTTTCTTCGTTCCTTTTCTATTCGATTGGGTTGAATGTGTTTGACATATACACTCTGACCAACTGTTATGGAACCATCACCCTCTTGACTGATTTGAAGACTTGTAATGTTGGATCTCGATTAGTAAAGGGGTCCTCTATAATGCGAAATTTTTTCAAATTTATTTAGACCCCCCTGTTTGAAAAAGTGGTCCTGAATAACGCTAAATTTTTGGGTGACCCTAAATTTTCAAATTGGAAACCTATTAAGGGTTTGAATTCCTTCTGAGGCTAATGATTATGTCATTAGCTGATATAGCTTTTTCTAGGTTTCTTCAAAACTGACTGCTGACCAAAACCACCAATTCCTAATTAAACCCTTTATAAAACATTGCTCCTAAACAAATTTTCAAGGTAGTAGACCAGGAAGGCACCTGATCCTCAATAATAGATTTGTTTTTGGGTTCTCAATTGTGAAAAGATTTTTCCACTGGAAAAAATGCTCATGGAATCTTCCTTTCCTTAGCTCCTGAGGCCAATGATTATGATTCATTAGCTGATATAGCTTTCTCTAGGTTTCTTCAAAACTGACAGCTGACCAAAACCACCAATTCCTAATTAAAACCTTTATAAAACATTGCTCCTAAACAAATTTTCAAGGTATCAAACCAGGAAGGCACCTGATCCTCAATAATAGATTTGTTTTTGGGTTCTCAATTGTGAAAAGTTTTTCCACCGGAAAACATGTTCATGGAACCGTCCTTTCCTTAGCCCCTGAGGCCAATGATTATGATGCATTAGCTGATATAGCGTTCTCTAGGTTTCTTCAAAATTGACAGCTGACCAAAACCACTAACTCCTAATTAAACCCTTTATAAAACATTGCTCCTAAACAAATTTTCAAGGTAGTAGACCAGGCACCTGATCCTCAATAATAGATTTGTTTTTGGGTTCTCAATTGTGAAAAGTTTTTTCCACTGGAAAAAACTGCTCATGGAATCTTCCTTTACTTAGGAAGCCATGGAAGCTGAGGAAGAAGCTGAAAAAGAAGCTGAAAGCTTGGGGCTTCTCTTGAGCTGAAGATCTGAGGCTGCAAAGCAAAAGGATTGCTGAGAACAATTACAAAGCACCTGAGAAAGGAAGCTGAATACAATCTATGAAAGGAAAATTAATACTACAATCAATTACAAAAGATCCCTCACCAGGAATCCAGATTTGTTTTGGTGATAATTTATTATAGAGAGTCGCCTGTTTGTTTGAGGGGGGGGGCCCTTTACTAATC